GGAGTTTGAGGTTGCTGTGAGCTAGGCTGACGCCACGGCACTCACTCTAGCCCGGGCAACAGAGTGAGACTCTGTCTCAAAAAAAAAAAACAAAACCGGGCAAAAGACATAAACCAGCTCTTCACAGAGGAGGAAATGTAAATGAATGGACAATACCAACATGAAAAGATTCTTAACCTAGCATATTGGCATAGCACATGGGACGTCAGGGAGGGAAGACGTGAGCTGAGAAGGGAGAGTGGGTTTGTAGTCAGACGTGTCTGGCTGGGATTCAGCCTCCCTGACCTTTGATGACGCCATTTCACTTCCCTGGACCTCGGTTGGTTTCCTTACCTGTTAAAGAAACGAGCACGCCGTACCCGCTCTCCAGGTGCGAGGGTGAAGTTTACACAAGGCATATAGAGCTTCTAGCACGGTGCCTGGCCCATAGCTGTGTTTATAAATGTTGTTTTCCTTCTCCTCCCCCTTCCTACTATCAGTCCTCCCGGGTGGGGAGAAAGTGGAGGGGCCACAGGGCTGCACCAGGGTGTCCTCTAGACTCGAGGTTTCACTCTTCTGCTCCTAGGACCCTCATTCACGGAGATAAGAAAGGGGGGTTTACCATCTTCTGGGCGGACGATGGTCTGGACACCGGGGACCTTCTGCTCCAGAAGGAGTGTGAGGTGCTTCCGGACGACACCGTCAGCACCTTGTACAACCGCTTCCTCTTCCCTGAAGGCATCAAAGGGATGGTAAGAGCTGGGAGCCAGCCGTGCCCTGCCCTTTCCCCGACACGCTCCTGCCCACAGGGCTCGTCCCTTCTCGGACACCCTCTCTGGAAGAAGGTGCTTGTCCCTGGCTGGCCAGGAATCTATTCCCCAAACTCCAGGATTGTGGAGGGAGAGACCTCTCACCTCGGGGCTTCAAAGAGACAGAATCAAGACAAACAGTATTAGGAGTGACTCTTGCTCATGACTGACAGAACCAACTCAAAAGCTTTCGCCAAAAAAAGGAACATTTGGGCTCATTTAATAGATAATACTAAAGGCAAGGATGGTGTCACACATGACTGAATCCAGAAGCTATGATGTCATTAGGATTATGCTTCTTTCTTTCTTCACCCTTCCATTCTGCTCTTCCGTATGTGATTAATTTCATTCTCAGTTTGCCCCGAATTGGAGGAAAGTTAGTCCACTGGTAGCTCAAGGCTTATCATGCTTGATTCCAGGTGAAGAGAAACCCTCTTCCTTATAATGAAGAAAAAAAATCAGGGAAGACCCTGATTGGCCAATTTGGGGCCATGTGATAATCCAGAGCCAATCACTAGCTGGGGTGGGCGGGGATGAAGCACTCTGATTGGCTGTTGCCTCAATCACCTGTTTCCTGCTGGGTGGGGCCAGCTGGGGAGGGAAGGTGGGCAGCTGCAGTGGTCTGGGGAGAGGTTCTATTGCCAGAGCACGGGGTGGGGCTGCAGAAAGGGAGGGTAGCTAGTGTCGAGGACACTAGCAACTGATCCTGCAATTGCACGGAAGTCTCCGGGGTTGTGTGTCTGTGCAGGGCTGTTGGCGTCCCCACTGGAGGGTGGGCTGGCCACTGATGGCCAAAGGCAGGTGGTATCCCAGGCCAGGAGGGGCTGGAGGAAGTTTCCAGGGGCAGCACTGGCTGTCTGGATACGGCAACAGCGTAACAGCAATGTACAAATGCTCGCTGCACCCCCAAACGCCGGCTGTCCCGTCTCCCCTGGTGGCTGTCACATTGCTGCCTTTTATTTCTCAGGTGGGGATAATCTCATGCCTTTTTGTCTTCCCCCCTCCCAGAATGACCTGCTCACCAAAGTGGCCAGCAAAATAGACTTTCCGGAGGTTTTGCATGAGAGTCAGCGAGGGGTGTCACTGCAGACAACTCAGATACCCATCACAGCCATTTAAATGAATTGCATTAAATTCCATTCCTCGTTCTCATGAGCGACATTTCCAAGCCCTTGTCACTCCGCGTGGCTCCTGGCCACCGTACCGGAGCACGAAGACATAGACACACGTATCCCCAAAGCAGCTCTCCCGGGGCAGCCCTGCCGCAGATGTTTCTGAGACCTGCGTCTCACTTCCTGTTCCTTATGTCCCTTCCCTGATTCCTTCAGCCGCCACCTCCGTCTCTCTCGTCACAGAGAGACTACTTCGTCTCAGATGTCTAAACTTGCACCATTCTCCTTACGAGACAGAGAAGGTTCTCAGACAGCAACGTGGGCATTATTGTGTGTGTTATCTCTGCACGGGGCTTTCTAGTTTATATAATCCTCTAAGACCTTAAAAGATGGAAAAATCTTCTTTTTTTTTTTTTTTTGGAGACAGAGTCTC